TAAAAGCATGGCAGGTATCTTTTAGAACAAAAGGGAAATTTGGTGAGGTCAGGTGGAATTCAGGTACGGCTGGGTAACATAGGTAAAATAAGAAAGGTAAGTGCTCGAGCAGTGCAGTCGTGAACGTGGGTGCCCCGGCTCGACGGGCTCTGATGGGTTGTGTGCCTGGTACCCTGTGCAAAGCAGCAAGGGTCTTCTTTGTAATCAGCTCCACTTCACTCTGTGAGTATTTGAGGCGTGTGTGAGTTCCTTGTACTAGAGTCTGTATTTGTTTCAAATCTGTCTCCTTACGAAGTGTCTTCATTAAATCCTAAAAAAAGAAAAAGAAAAAAAGACTGTTGCACAACAGAAAAGCACTTCACTTTTCAGAGTGCTTTCGTATGTGATCACTCACTGACTGTAACACACCCACCCCCCCATCTCCTCTGACTGGGTAATTAAATAAGCCACCTGAGCCACCCCAGTGCCACAGACACACGCAGGCCCATTCATCTACCTACGCAGGCTTTTCAGTTGTTTGGCAAAGTTAGAGTCAGATGGAACCCCCTTTCCTGCCTCTTGCTTCTCTCATTCATGACTCACCAAAGTCCCCTTAGTGAACTAATAAAGCTGTAATGTCCTTTTCAATGGCTGCATATTATTCCAGACCGTGACTATACACAAATGATTCAGCTATTCTCTTAACGATGGGTATCCATTCTCTTTCTAGGCTTTGCCCTACAAACAATGCTGTGACAAACATTCCTGTATACATACCCCCAAGTATTGGTATTTTAGTTCCATGCGAGAGCTTTCTCAGTGTGAGACTGCTGGATCAAAGGAATTCACATTTTGTTTTCACAGTGGACACCCAAAGGCTGTGGTGATTCACATTTCTACAAGCAATGTCTTGAGTCTTCTTTTCCTTCCATCCTCACCAGCAGTGCAAGTCTGCATGTCTACAGTTGTATCTACACACACACACACGCGTGCGTGCATTTCTACAACCACACACACACATACATGCTTCTATTTTCAGTCTTACTGATAAACATATAAAAATCTTATTAATTTAATTTGTATTCCCCTGAGGATTTGAGCATTTCTTCAAGTTCACTGGCCATCAGATCTCATCTTCCTGAACCACCTGATCTCTCCTATCCTATATGTGTCTACATGTGAGATTTTCTTAAAATTATTTTAACTTCTCCCTTCCTGATAGTATTTTTGCTTTCACTCTTTCCTCCCTTCATCAGAGTTGCAAAGTTTATCTATTTTATTAATCTTTAAATAGAAACTAATATTTCAATTTCATTGTCCCTTTTCTATTTTCATTAATTTCAGCTCAAAAATACCCCCTTTTGTAGTTCAGTGGTATAGTTTGTGACTGTTCTTGAGGTGAGTATGAGTTTCCCCCGTGCTCTGTCCTCCTTCTTTACAGTGAAGATGTTACTACTGTGTCCCAAAAATACCGGTGAGAACAAGGCTCCTATCTATCATCTTCGAGACATTTTCTAGTTTGCCTTTGGACTGCTTATTTGACCCAAAAGTCATCTAGAAGCACAGCTGTTAATCTCTATGGGCTCTGGTGGTGCAGTGGTGAAAGCATTCAGCTGCTAACCAAAGGTTTGAACTCACCAGCTGCTCCATAGGACAGAGATGAGGCAGCCTCCTTCCGTAAAGACTGGCCACCTTGGAAAGCCTACAGCGCAGTTCTACTTTGTCCCATTGGGTCACTAGGAGTCAGAATTGACTCAAGGACAGTGGATTTGGTTTGGGTTTATATAGACAAACAGGTTTTGGTCACTACTTTTAACTTCATAAATTATCATCAGGAAATGTGACCTATAAAAATCTCTACTTTAAAAAGCAAATGAAGTTTTAAATGTGGCCACGTATGTGATCAACTTTCATAAATGTTCTATGGATATTTTTAAAAATTGTTGTTGTGTGCTATTGCGTCGGACCCGACTCATAGCGACCTCTTCTTGGGTTTCCGAGACAGTATCACACGGAAGTAGATCGCCCCATCTTCCTTCCAAGGAGTGGCTGGTGGGTTTGAACTGCCAGCCTTCTGGTTAGGAGTCAAGTGCCTTAGGCACTACGCTACCAGAGCTCCCATTTTAAAAAATAGCTCACTCTTATTTAGTACTTATCATTGTTCTACTCAATTTACATTTATTAACCTATTTAATCCTCTCCACAATGCTATGAAACAGGTGCGATAATTACCACCCTTCTACAGGTGAGGAAAGGAAGGCGTAAGTGCGTGTAGGGACTTGCCTAGAGCCACACAGCCTAGAGGTGGAGCGAGGATCTGGACTCAAATGACCAGTTTCCAGATCCCAGAAACCAGTGGCCATCCAGCCAGCTCCAACACTTGGCAAGCCCTCCACATGTGTCAGAGCAGAACTGGGGTCCACAGGGGCTTCAAAGGCTGATTTTGTGGATGTATATCTCTCGGCCTTTCCTCTCCAGAGCTCACATTAGTCCGAACCACTATGCTACCCAGTCTCTACATTGATTACAGTAAGTTTATTGATTGTACTCTTTAGATAAGAATTTAGAAACATCTTTCAACATTTTAAATACACATACCCTTAGACCTAAACATTTATCCTTCAAACCAAAGTCGCTGCCATCGAGCCGGATCCAACTCCTAACGACCCCTCCTTGGGTTTCCCAGGTAGTAAATCTATGGAAATAGATTGCCCAGTCTTCCTTCAGAGGAGTGGGTGGTGGATTTGAAGTGCCACCCTTCTGGTTAGCAGTCAGATAGATGCCTTAGGCGCTACACCACCAGCGCTCTTAACATTCATTCAATAGTTATATGGATAGAGATATGTAATACTAACAAAGGCATTTATATAGTGCTCTCCATGCGCCAGGCATTGTTTTCAGTACTTATCTGGATTATCTGATTTAGCCCTGACTACAACCATAAGCTCGGAAGGGAGATGGGGCAATATACTTCCATAGTGATACTGCCTCGGAAACCCAAGGAGGGGTCTCTATGGTCGGGTTCTACTCGATGGCAAATAACAACAACAACAACACAACTGTAAAAGGAAGGTACTTTTGTTACCCCATTTTATAGATGGCATAACCAAGGCAGCAAGAGGTTAGGTAGCTTGGTCAAGGCCACACCACTAGTAAGTTGCAGAGCCAGGATTCGAACTCAGGCAGTTTGGCTTCTGACTCTATGCTCTTAGATACCATGCTATTCTCCCTTTGGAAAGAATGCGAATGCTGCATTTTCACAATATCAAAAACCCCAAAATGCCCATCAGTAGGAGAATGGCCACTCCTCAGAAGGAAGGTTGGGCAATCTACTTCCATAGCGATACTGCCTTGGAAACCCAAGGAGGGGTTGCTGAGTTGGGGCCGACTCGACGGCACATAACAACAAGAACATGCAATACCAGGCAGTACTCAGAGTCAAGAAGATCTTTACAAGCTAAAATGAACACACACCACACCATGATGACAAGTGAACAAGCTTGCTGCAAAGCACAATTGATAACAAAAGTCTGTTGTAAAACAAACCAAACAGGGAATATAACACATACACTGCAATATACAGAGAAACTGTCCAGATGGCAATACATCAACCTGGGTTCAGCAAATACCAGGGAGATGTGAGGACGGATAAGGAAAAGGTTTTTATTTTTTCTATATTCTGAATAATTTAAAAAGATAGGCATGTTACAGTTATTAAAAAAAGTTTGAAAAACATAGTTCTTCTACTTGGTTTTCTGTAAGTTTTCTAACTCAGCTTTACCTTTAGTTCTTGGATTAGCTGGGTCCTTCTGTCTCTCAAATTCGTTAGCTCTTTCTCATCCCAGGATCTAGCCTTGTACTTTAAGTCACTTGACCCTCCAGAGATCACCCCAGACTTTAAAAACAGTGTTCCATCAAGAGCTACTGTCTGTAAAATTAAAAAATATTTTACCTTTAGAAATGTACACAATGTAGCAATTTTTACAGCTGAGATTTTGTCCCTAAAAAAACCCACTCCCTAAGTTTTATTAATAAAATACCGAGTTTATGGAGGGAGGCCAACAATAACAGACCATGAATGCAAAACCCAGAGATGACAGCATGAAGTCATACAGTAACTCTGAGGACAAAAGGAGGGGCAAGGGCCTGAGAGATGAAAGAGGTGCAGCAGCCTGGGGACGCGTGGATGGCGAGGGCCAGGGGCCGGGAAGGAATCCCAGGGAAACGTTTCATGTGGCTAGAAGGGTGGCATCAAGAACTGAGACAAAGAATACAGGAGAGACGTCAGGATTTGGGAAAAAGACCACGACTTTAGAGTTAGAAACGTTGACTGCGCAGTGCCTGCGGGCTGATGTTTTACTTATTTACTCATAATTTTTCCTTTACCTGTTTCTAGGAGAATTTCAGTAAGATTACAATAGTATGTATTACAACAAAACAACTACAAACAGTAATTAAAATAGAGATAAGAAATCCTATAAGTGAAAAAAGAAGTACAATTAATAATTAAGAATATTATTATGAAAAAGCAGTGAATTAAATGGATAAGAAAAAGACAAATTACTCAATATATGATTTTGGGACAAATAATTAACAATTAAGAAACAAAGGTAATACCTATGTGAAACACATTAAATGATTCCAGACAGATGAAAATGAAAATACAGAAAGTGAAACCATAAAAAAAGTGAAGAAAATTTAAGGCAACATGTATTTGATCTTATAGTAGAGACACATAAAAACATAACCTACAAAGGTTAAGGGTAATAGGGTTGATTATAAAAATATATGTTGTTGAAAATACCATAAAATTGTTGTTAGCTGCTGTTGAGTCAGCTCCAAATCATAGCAACCCCATGTACAACATTAGAAAACACTGCCTGGTCCAGCACCATCCTCACAATCCTCGCTATACCTAAACCCATGGTTGCAGCCACTGTGTCCAGCCCGTTTGTTGAAGGTCTTCCCTTTTCTCGCTGACCCTCCACTTTGCACCCAGCATAATATACTTCTCCAGGGAATGGTTTCTTCTGACATGATCAAAGGAGGTAAGACGAAGTCTGGCCATTCTTGCTTTCAAGGAGCATTCTGGCTGCACTTCTTCCAGGACAGATTTGTTCGTTCTTCTGGCAGTCCGTAGTACTTTGAGTATTCTTCGCCAGCACCACAGCTCAAAAGCATCAACTCTTCTTTTGTCTTCCTTATTCACTGTCCAGACTTTTCACATAGGAGGCAACTGAAAATACCATGGCTTGGATCAGCGCATCTCAGCCTTCAAAGGAACATCTTTGCTTTTCAGTGCTCTGATGAGGTCGTCTGCACACATCTGCCCAGTGCAGTATGACGTCTGGTTTTCTGACTGCTGCTTCCATTGGTGTTGACTGTGGATCCAAGTAATATGAAATCTTTGACAACTCCAATCTTTTCTCCATTTATTGTGATGTTGCTTATTGGTTCAGTTGTGAGGATTCTCAATTTCTTTATGTTGAGGTATAATCCATGCTGCAGACGTAGTCTTTAATCTTCATCAGTTAGTGAGTCAAGTCCTCCTCACTTTCTGCAAGCAAGGTAGTGTCATCTGCAAATTGCAGGTTGTTAATGAGTCTTCCTCCAATCCATGTTCTTCTTCATACAGTACAGCTTCTCAGATTATTTGCTCAGCATAAAGATTGAATAAGTATGGTGAAAGGATACAACCCCGACACACACCCTTCCTGATTTTAAACCATGCAGCATCCCTTTGTTCTGTCTAAACGACAGCCTCCTGGTCTATGCACAGGTTCCTCATAAGTACAATTAAGTGTTTTGGAATTCCCATTCTTCTCAATTTGTAATGATTTTCCATAATTTGTTATAATCCACACAGTCAAATGCTTTTGCACACTCAATAAAACACGAGTAAAAATCTTTCTGGTATTCTTTGCTTTCAGTCAAGATCCATGTGACATCAGCAATGATACCCCTCACTCCATGTCCTCTTCTGAATCCAG